CACACACACACACACGCACCAACACATGAGTCCAACACAACAGGTAAGGTCCCAGATAGACATAGAAACATTTCTCTGCCCAGCGGCCTCGGGGGGTGATGTTATCACCAAATCACAGCAGCCCTAGCTGGAGGGGATCATGTGAGGTTGTCTGCCTGTAAAATGTTGCTAAACCCACTTTACAGATGAGGTGACTGAGTGCTAAAGAGAGATGCGGCAATTCAGGGGCAGATCTGGTGTTAGAGCCCAGGGCCGTTGCCTCCCAGGATAATTCCTCCAGGTGTCCCAAATTGCCAAGTGTACTGCCTGACGCAGCGTGGTACCAGATCTGGGGGACAGGCCCTGCTGTTGTCAGCAGTGCCCATCTCTCCTTGAGGAAGATCTCGGTGGGTGTCCAGGCATGGGTGGGTTCCGAGTCTGACTGAAATGCCCACCCAGCTTATCTGGAGGAATGAGGCTGTCTTGGGAAGAGCAGGAGAACCCTCGGTGGACACATAGGAAGAGGAGGCCCGATGCCTTAAAAGGGACATTCACAAGCTCCAATTTGTACAACGTGTGATTCAAGGAAGAATAGCCAAGGAAGGAAGTATTTCTAGGTCTTGGGGTTGGCACACCTTTACCTTTAAAGGTCACTTTTAGAGGACAAAGGTCTCATGCTGTGTTTCCCTCATTCCCCATCCAACACGTCACACATCTGGCCCAGTCTTCTTAATCTGTTTCCTCCCCTCCACCCCCATGACTGCCCTTCCTCAGCCCTTATGACTGCCCCCCATCACACATCTGGCCGTCTTCTTTATCTGCCTCCTCTCTTCCACCCCCATGACTGCCCTTCAGCCCCTATTTTCTCTTGCAGTAGGTTGTTTTCAGCCCTCCCTTCTCAACTCCATCTTATCCACAGCCAAAAGTTACTCTTCCTGGCATCCATTCTTCCCTCTGGATAACTCAAAAACCTTCAGACCTTCCTCCTGCCTTCGGAACTGAGTCTAAATTCCCCACCCTGATATTCTAATTCCTCTAGAACCTGCCCTCAACTTTCCTTTCTACATGTCTCCAACTTTTACACTCTAGAAACCCAAATCTGAGCGTTTGGGGATATTCCTCCCAGGCCCTCTCCCCACATTGCCCTCTTGGACCTCCCCTAAAAGAATCTTTGCTATGACCACACTTTCCCATCCTCTAAGGTTTGTTCGGCCCAAGTGCCCTCTTCCCTACCAAGCCTGAGGCTCACTAGGACTTACTTGGTCATCTGGTTTCCCTCTGGGTGTCAGGTGCACATGAAGTCTGAATCACTTGCTGCTTCGAGTGGGGAGGCATAGATTGGGGTGGGAGAC